AGTTGATGACAATAGAGACAAATTAAGATTTGTTTTAATCTTACTGTTTTATTAAGTTAAAGTCAAGGGCTTTACTATTCAATGAAACATAAAAATGTCTGTTAGAAGTGTTTCCCTCTTTCTATTATTACTTAAAATAAAAGCAAAGAAAGTATTTTTTTCTAACAGTGATCATAAAAACAGGCATTCTCAATCCTTCATATTAACTTTAAGGCTCTATATGTAAATTACATAAATCTTTGCCAAATCTACTTTTACTAAGTGGATGAAAAAGCAGAGAGCAAACTCAAAACATCAAGAAGTTGAGTTTCTATAGTTATAGAAGATACTTTCTAAAATTTAAAGTTTTCCTTTAGGCATGTTGATTAATTCTTAACAATTCTCTCACGACTATATGTCAATAAGTTTTAATATTTTAATGGAGAAAATGACTATTATTTGCTATTTGCTCTCCACAAAATTAAAATGTCTTTTCCAACTAAATTCAGCTTCTTTCCTGGCAAAAGTTAAACATTTATTTCTGTTCTGAGAGTTATCTAATACTCAGTAAAGCTGAAATATGTTAAGATTTAGCCCCTTTTAGGAACATTCTATATTCATTCCAGTACCCATCTTGCCCAGAAGAAAATGTGTCAGCAGTCACAAAAAGCTCTAGTGGATGAGATGTGTGCACTGACCACTAAGAAGCAGCAGGGGGAGCAGACAGCGAACACATTGAGAAAAAGCACCCCAGAAAAGCAATTCAATTTATAGGCAACAGAAACATGATGGAGATGTTTGCTAAAAACCAAACAGAGAAAATAAATTCCACAAAGTCGTCACGACCACATGTGCAAAGCTGGCCTAGGTACATCTGGAATGAACTAAACAAAAACCTTAAGTCTCTTAAAAGCATGTTTGAATCCTAACTTCAAGACAGACTTGCAGCTTGAAGCACGGTAGTTTCTAGCAATGCCAAACCTCGGAAGTGCCCCAAAATTACAGAGGAGAAACAAAATGCATTTTTATAGTGGTATATTTTGGGGGGAAATCAAAATGATTTCATTTTCTCCTTCAAAATCACTGCCCTTACATTCAAGGCCTGGTAAAATGTGCATTATTAAGTCAAAAGAGGATAAAGATATAGGGTTTCCCTAGCATAATCCTTGAAAGCCCTGAGGCTTAGCCTCCTGGCCTGCCCTCTTCGCATCCACACTTGACTTTCCATGAGAGAAAGGTAACCAAAAACACCATGAAACTATTCTGCATTAAAAATAGTCTAAAAAGGTATTTTAGCTTTGCAAAATCTGTACAAAAAAGGATGGAAATATGCCCACCAATCCCACACTATGCTTAACATTTTCTAAAAATTAATGAGTACTGTGTTTTCAGTTTTAGAGTAAAACAGAAAAAGTATTTAGCTTTTCTGTCTGAAATTCTGGAACTGGAATTTAAGAAAAGATTAAACTTCTAATTGGAACTTCAAAATATTTATGTCTATAGTATACCAAAAAAGTATAAATACAATGTAAGTGTTTTTTATAATATAGAAATGTGCACTAAAGACAGTTATCTAAGAACTGCATTATAAAAATCCATGAAAGTTAAAATGTCACGCACAAAATCTGAACTGAATGGTAAAATACATATTTTAGTCAAGTAGGCAACCAATGAAGTTTGACTTCACCCTCACATAATAATACCAATAACAACACATATAAGTGCCTACTACTGTCAGAAACTTATTTATTAGCTACCTGTTTTATATATATTCTTTCCAACTCCTGCACTGACCTTTCAAAAAAGACATTACTGTGCTCGTCGTATGCTAAGGAAACTGAAGCTAAAAAAGTTTAAGCCATTTCTTTAATGTAACTCAGCTAATAAGGAACAAAACCATGATTCAACTTCCAGGTCTGTGTGCTTCCAAAGCTTTGAGACCTCAGCAAAACCTCCCTCAACTGTAGCAATGAGGTTCCAAAGGAAATCTGTACAAATCTCAGGCAGATTAATGTTCTTATGAGGGTAAATGCTTTAGATTTAACCACTCAAATTACACGCCGTCTGGAGGCTCTTACCCTGCTTGGTACAAGTAACCTACGTGTACTAAAGGCAGTGCTGGCCCGGCCAAGAAGTCAATCATTTCTGTCTCAACACCATCATAAGCATTATGCACATTACAATACCCATCAGGAAATACAGCTAGTTGCTTCTAAAGCATCATTTAAAAGTTGCTCGTAGTTTAGATTCCTTTTATAAGATTTTTAGAAACATATGAATAATCTGGTAACCCAGTTTGTTAAATGGGTTTGAGGAATCAATTTCCTTCTTCCTAATAATCAAATCCATCTCCATAACAAATATTTTCTCTATAAAATCACTTAAAAATCCTGATCTCTTACTAGTATTTTTGCGTTATTTTAATCTATTAGAATAATCAAAAAATAAAACAAACCTTAAGAGAGAAGAAAACAGAGAAAAATGTCATGACTTTTCAAAGGCCAGAAGAGAATAACCTGAAAACACTGGTTGTTTTGAACAAGTACATGTAAAAAGAATGGATGGTAATAAAGCTAATAACCAAAAAGCAACGTTTCAGACTTATTCATTCATACTCAAGAGGTCTCAAACAGCCTAGTGGACGTGTGATGCCAGCTGCACATTTCCAGTTCAGACTGAGGTTCAGCATCACTCAAGGGACTTCAGATCAGCTGCTCCAACTCAGTTTACAGCTCATAGGGATGTGGCTTATTCCTGCCCTTGCTATCAAGCAGAAGGGTAACTTTAGGACCTTCACCAAGAGCGTTTTTTCCTTCTAAGATAATCCTTTCATCTATAAAAAGTCCTATGAGTTTAGCACTCATTTAGCAATGAATGGGTTAAAAAAGAGACATGAATGGCTTAGACATTAAAAGCTTAAGCAACAGCTTCAGCTGAGTTGAAATTTTTTAATGTTAAAAATAAGTGTCATGTCAATAATCTTTCAACCACAAGACTTAAACACAGCTAGAATGACTACATTTTGAAAAAGTCTTTTCTCACTTAACCTAGATTTCACTTCAACCAAATAAACCCTCCTCCCATACTAAACCTGTAAATTAACTCAAAGTCCACTTTGGGGGCCTGTTTCACAATGAAGGTTAAAAAAAAAAAATCCCTGTCTTATTTGGTGCTTTTCAAAGAAAGGAATCATTTTGACCAATTATTGTGACCTAAAGTTTTATTTTTATCTTAAAGTCCGGTTAAATTAATTACTTGATAGTTGAAGTCATTTACAATACTTTATTCGATTTCATGTTAATTTTTAAATTCAAACACAGGTCTCATCATTAAAAGTATGGACTTGGGGGCAAAGTAGTTGTAACTACTCAGGTTCATTTCACTGAAAAAGGAATCTCAAATCATCTTGTAAACATAAGCAAATGCTTGCACATTTCTTTAGGTGCCTTCACGTTCTGCTTTTCGTTTTACTACACAAAATCAACCAGAAAAGAGAATTAAGAACTCAGACCCAGAGCAGAATGGTCCCATTCAGCGTGTAGAACACTGGAGACACTCGGCGTATGTCTCCTGCTGTTATGAATCAAATTACGAAGGAAGATTTTATAAAATTAATCAATGAACTAAGAATTTGTTAGCCAGATGAGAACAATGGCATCTGATGCCACAGCGAGTAGTAAGAGAGCAATAACCCGTCATTTTGATGAGGCCCAAATGACACACACACAAAAATACAGATTTGATCACCAGTGTGCAAATGGCAGCTGAGTGTGCGTATGGATAGGTTAGTACCTGCAAACAGTGACTGGGGAGTCTCTTTTATTTTGTTTATTTGAAGCTAACTTTTCCTTTAAAAACAATGCTATCCATACAAGCACTGTCAACAGATAAGACAATCAAGTCCCTGATATGCTAAGGTATTTTTAAAAACTGCATGAGAAAAAAACAGGTGGGATAAAAACTACAATAAGCTAAAAGAAAAAAGCATTGCTCTCGAAAGATATGTGCACAGAGATAAACAGTAAAATGGTATAACTTTCCTGACCTTGTAAATAGGTGGCCACAAATACGTAAATATCTTTAAAAGGCAACTGTTACTACCACACAGTTACCAGTCCTTACTGGCTGAATCCCTCAGCCCTCTGCATCCAACATGCACGTCTCCTTTCCTATCCCTTCCGCCAGTCATTAAAGACACACATAATCCCCATTACTTCCTTACATAACTAAAGACAAAAGACCCCACAAATTTCAAAAAACTACAGAAGTGTCAACACTCTACCTTGCTTTAAGGCTGTATCAGGCTGAAGGCTACTTCTCAGCCCCCAAAACTCCATTAGCCACCAAGACCAGCACTTTGGCAGATATGGCACCAATGCCCCATTGAAGCACAGCTGTAACTAAATGACCTCAGAAAACTGGACTTCCCTCCAAGATTCACGGAAACAAAGATAGTGATCAGAATGAACCTTCTAACTTTGTTTACGTTTCCTGTGGAGACGCATGGTCAAGTAAACATACAAAAGCTCAGTCTTTACAGGGTATCCTGACACCTAGATAAATGGGGGTTAAGGGTCCAAGCTCACTGAACTCTTCTGAGTTTGAGTGCGGCAGGTGGTGACATCCAAGAGACTGCACTGACCTCTAGCAACTCTTATTTCCAACTAGGAGTCCGAAGAATACCCTTAAACAGGCAATGCCAATGGGCCCGACTGGGTTTCTGCTGCAAGGGCAAAGTGTCACTTAGGATCCCCTCCCTCCCAAAAAACACTCACAGACTTGGGGGTACTGCAATCAAAATATGTCAAAGTTGCTTCTGCAAAATGTGTAATATACCTAGAATGAATGGAAGAGAGAGGGAGGGCACAGAATCAGCAACCTCCCTCCAAGGGAGCAGAACCACCAACATGCAGTAAGTGTGACAAATCTCTGTTATTTCCCGGGGCTACGGGGACTAGTGGCTTCCCCGGCGCGGGAATCAGCAGCCTCGGGGCCTGGGTGAGAGCAGAGCCGGAGCTTACCTTGTTGGAGGCCATCTCACTGACGGAGTGCCTGGTCTGCAGGGTCTCTAGCTGGTCCAGACACCAGTCCAGCTCCTCCAGGGTCTCGCTGGCCAGTTTCTGGTAGGCCTCCTCTGCGAAGAGATAGGGAAAGGGGGACTCAGTTCTGAAGCGCTTCACGGGGCTGCCAGCGAGTTCAAAGGGGGCCATCGTGCCATACCCCGCCATGCTCGGATGCCCGGTGCCCGCACATGAGGGCTGCTCCTTCATATTGCCGAGCCGGGCACCGCGAGCGGCGCCGGGGCTCTGCTAGCAGGGCGGCCGGGCTCCGGAAAGCACGGGCTCTCCAGCTTGGCGTCTCAGGTCGGCGTCCAGGGAGCGCGCGCCAAGCGCGGCCAGACAACTTTTACACCGAGACAGCCCAAAACGGCCACGATGAGACTTTTAGACGGTGCGGCGGGCCCGAGCCGAGTCCCAGTCCGGGGGGATGGCGAAGGAGGCGGCGCGCGCGCCTCGGAGCCCGCCCCGCGGAGGGAGCGTCTGGTCCACGGCCCGATCGCCTCGGTGCCGGCCCCGCGCCGCCCCGCCTGCCGAGCCTGCACTCGAAGCGAATGAATCAGCCGCGGCCGGGTGTGCGGCCACCACGTTTCCTGTTTTCTTTCTCAACTCCTCGGGCGGCGGGCGCAGCGCGGCTCCATCGCCGCGGCTTTCCGGGAACACTCCCCCTCACGCCCCTCACGGCCCTCGGCGGCCCGGCCGCTCCTCAACCCCCTCACACAAAGATGCCCA